GTTCTCCTCAGACTTGACTGCCCTTGACCAGCACAAAAACCTCCTGTGGCGTACTGCATTAGCATCAAATAGCCCCCGCGATATGCAACTTTTCAGGGAAGTTAGGAACCAATATACACAAGCAGTCAGGAAAGCAAAGGCAAACTTTTTCAAACAGAAATTTGCATCCTGTAGCACTAACTCCAAAAAGTTTTGGGACACTGTAAAGTCCATGGAGAATAAGAGCACTTCCTCCCAGTTGCCCACTGCACTGAGGCTAGGAAACACTATCACCACCGATAAATCTACAATAATCGAGAATTTCAACAAGCATTTTGCTACAGCTGGCCATGCTTTCCATCTGGCTACCACTACCCCCCGGCCACCAACTCTGCACCCTCCGCTGAAACTTGCCCATGCCCCCCCCGCTTCTCCTTCACACAAATTCAGACAGCTGACGTTTTGAAAGAGCTGCAAAATCTGGACCCCCACAAATCAGCTGGGCTAGACAATCTGGACCCTTTCTTTCTAAAACTAGCCGCCGAAATTGTCGCAACCCCTATTACTAGTCTGTTCAACCTCTCTTTCATAACGTCTGAGATCCCCAGAGATTGGAAAGCTGCCGCGGTCATCCCCCTCTTCAAAGGGGGTGACACTCTAGATCCAAACTGCTACAGACCTATATCCATCCTGCCCTGCCTTTTGAAAGTATTTGAAAGCCAAGTTAACAAACAGATCACCGACCATTTCGAATACCACCGTACCTTCTCCGCTATGCAATCCGGTTTCCGAGCTGGTCATGGGTGCACTTCAGCCACGCTCAAGGTCCTAAACGATATTATAACCGCGATTGATAATAGACAGTACTGTGCAGCCGTCTTCATCGACCTGGCCAAGGCTTTCGACTCTGTCAACCACCGCATTCTTATTGGCAGACTAAATAGCCTTGGTTTCTCAAATGACTGCCTCGCCTGGTTCACCAACTACTTCTCAGATAGAGTTCAGTGTGTCAAATCGGAGGGCCTGTTGTCTGGACCTATGGCAGTCTCTATGGGGGTGCCACAGGGTTCAATTCTTGGGCCGACACTTTTCTCTGTGTATATCAATGATGTCGCTCTTGCTGCTGGTGACTCTCAGATCCACCTCTACGCAGACGACACCATTTTGTATACATCTGGCCCTTCATTGGACACTGTGTTAACAAACCTCCAAACGAGCTTCAATGCCATACAACACTCCTTCAGTAGCCTCCAACTGCTCTTAAACACTAGTAAAACTAAATGCATGCTTTTCAATCGAACGCTGCTGGCACCCCCCCACCCGACTAGAATCACCACTCTTGACGGGTCTGACCTAGAGTATGTGGACAACTACAAATACCTAGGTGTCTGGTTAGACTGTAAACTCTCCTTCCAGACTCACATAAAGAATCTCCAATCCAAAGTTAAATCTAGAATCGGCTTCCTATTTCGCAACAAAGCCTCCTTCACTCATGCTGCCAAACATGCCCTCGTAAAACTGACTATCCTACCGATCCTTGACTTCGGCGATGTCATTTACAAAATAGCCTCCAACACTCTACTCAGCAAATTGGATGTAGTCTATCACAGTGCCATCCGTTTTGTCTCCAAAGCCCCATACGCTACCCACCACTGTGACCTGTACGCTCTTGTTGGCTGGTCCTCACTACATGTTCGTCGTCAAACCCACTGGCTCCAGGCCATCTATAAATCACTGCAATGCAAATCCCCGCCTTATCTTAGCTCATTGGTCACCATAGCAGCACCCACCCGTAGTCTGCGCTCCAGCAGGTATATCTCACTGGTCATTCCCAAAGCCAACACCTCCTTTGGCCGCCATTCCTTCCAGTTCTCTGCTGCCAATGACTGGAACGAATTGCAAAAATCTCTGAAGCTGGAGACTCTTATCTCCCTCACTAACTTTAAGCATCAGTTGTCAGAGCACCTTACCGATCACTGCACCTGTACACAGCCCATCTGAAATTAGCCCACCCAACTACCTCATCCCTATATTGTTATTTATTTTGCTATTTTGCACCCCAGTATCTCTATTTGCACATAATCTCTTGCACATCTAGCATTCCAGTGTTAATACTATTGTAATTATTTTGCACTATAGCCTATTTATTGCCTTACCTCCATAACTTGCTACATTTGCACACACTGTATATATATTTTCTGTTGTATTTTTGACTTTATGTTTTTTACCCTGTATGTAACTCTGTGTTGTTTTTATCGCACTGCTTTGCTTTATCTTGGCCAGGTCGCAGTTGTAAATGAGAACTTGTTCTCAACTGGCTTACCTGGTTAAATAAAGGTGAAAAAAAAAAAAAAAAAAAAATTATTTTTTATTTTATATTTTTGACAACTTTTACTTTTACTTTACTACATTCCTAAAGAAAATAATGTACTTTTTACTCTACATTTTCCCTGACACCCAAAGATACTCGTTACATTTTGAATGCTTAGCAAGACAGGAAAATGGTCCAATTCACGCGCTTATCAAGAGAACTTGAGTCATCTTCTATTAAGGTATCTATACTTTTACTCAAGTATGACAATTGGTACTTTTTTCACCGCTGTTAATGCATAGACATTCTGTGAAGTTCCCTCATTGTATAGCAGCGTCTGTGACATGGCAGGACCTTTGTGAGAATCAGGTGAGGTTGTGAATGAGGTGAGGTTTGAGAACCAGTGGCCTGAGTATCCACGCAGTGGGAGGCAGGTGGACTTTGGCTCTCTTGATAAACACAGAATCTCTTCTCTTTTTATTTTCCAACTGGGTGAAAGTTCACGGTCCTGTTGGCCTCTGAAGGATTAGCTCACCTGTCTGTTTAGACTTGAACTCCACTGTGCAGTATAACACACCTTGACATTCATGGAGACATCGATGGTTTAATAATATTCAATTATATAATGCTGATATTGATATTGGTTTAATTTTGTTTAAAAATATAGGCCTACAGTGAAAAAAGAATAGATATAAATTGTTCTTTCTGGTCAATATTGGAGAACAAAATTATTAAAACTATATATATTTTATGTTTACTTCCTGGCGGAATTTGACTCTGTTCTGAAACACCTCATATTCTGGACGCTGGTCAAGAGTTAAAAGATAAGCATTTGAATGTTTCATATTTTATGATATCTGATAAGGATAGCAAGTGTAATAATTTTCATTGATCATCCATCCAGTAGAAAAAAATTATGTTCATATATCTCATTTGATCTTGATTGGTTGACAGTTACAGTTATTATGGTTTGATATTATGATACACATGACACGTGTAAATAATCTGATCCAATGGCACCATCAGCCACATTTCAAGCTGTGGGTGAGTTTATCCAACAGATTTTCATGCGAATATTCTAAAATCCGCATAAAACAATATGCCATTTTCTCACGAGATGTCTTTCCATCAAATTGAGTTGTCGCAGATAAAAAACTGTGTGTGATGACATAGTGCGCATAAAAATAATTGTTGCGGTTAAATTCCCATGTTCCGAATACAAAATACAAGTTAAATGTGGCTTTAGCACCCGTACTTCCCTTAGCTATGGGCCAGCCTACATGATGAGATTATTATGGACAAAAGAGCAAGATTATTTTTATTTGTCAAATGGCAGCCAAGCATCGATGATCATGTCACCAGAATAAGACCGTCAATATTTATTGGAAAGGAGCATCAATTGAGCTGATCACCTTGCACTTTCACTACCCTGTGAAGTTCATCATAATTTATTTAATCTGTAGCCTAATAAACTGCATGCTTTCCCGAGTCCTAGTGGGAGGACCACACAAAATGTTATCGCGTGACTCCAAATTTACTTCGATATGATGGTTATTATATCAATATTTGCACTTAAAAGCGTTTCCACCAATATTTCTGGCATAATTCATTTTACAGACACAAAACGATCCCACCTTGTTTATCATGTTTTGTTTTGTCGACATTTGGAAAGTTTACTGACAAATGTTCTGTTTCCATTAGGCCTGTCATGACATTTTTTATCCGACATGTACTTTACTGCATAGAAAGGTTGGATGGAAACCTGGTTTGTAACCATCCACAGTTTTTATGCGAATAAAGTCATACCATATATATATTTTTAAAAAATCACCACAGCTGTGATGGAAACTGAAAGTTTCGGTACAATTTTATAAATCAAATCAAATTGTATTCGCCATACAACAGGTGTAGGTAGACCTTACAGTGAAATGCATTTCTTACTTTATCTACTGGATGGATGATCAATGAAAATGATTACACTTGCTATCCTTTTCAGATATCATAAAATATGAAGCATTCCAGGTGAAGCTGGTTGAGAGAATGCCAAGATTGTGCAAAGCTGTCATCAAGGCAAAGGGTGGCTATTTGAAGAATCTCAAATATAAAATATATTTTGATTTGTTTAACACTTTTTGGTTACTACATGATTCCATATGTGTTATTTCATAGTTTTGATGTCTTCACTATTATTCTACAATGTAAAACATAGTAAAAATAAAGAAAAACCCTTGAATGAGTAGGTGTGTCCAAACCTTTGACTGGTAGTGTATAATACTCGCATTAAAAGGCTGGATGGAAACATGGTTAGTTAAACAAACACACACCACAACCACGTGGTCACATCAAAGCTCAGAATATTGAGGGCGGGAAAGCCCCTCGTAGATCAGTTTAAAACCGGCCTGAGGTCCCTCTCTTTTCAGACATCCTCAGACATTGGCAACTAGTGGATAGGGCTACTGTTAATTAAGTATCAGCTGCAAAGTGAAGTTATTTTAATGCAAGTTCAGGTTGCGGCAACATTTTATTTATATATTTAATCTTACCTCTGAGCATAAGAGAAAATAAGTGTTTTATAAAACGATCAATTACATTTGATTGGGTGCTTTTTATTACCAATATTGGTTTATCTATAAAGTACTGAAGGACATTAAAAGTGCTGACATTGGTGCCGAAAATGCTCAACAACTCCATTTTATTTTCTGCAGTAATAATGGCAGCAGCGTCTCTGAGTTTGACCACTGTAGCTGCTGCTGACCCGAGTGATTTCTGTTTCTGGACTAAAGTCACGTCAAACGGCGAGACCCATCTCAGCTTCCTCCGACACCACAGAGAAACCCACCACCCCTCCTCCTCATCCCTCCATCTCTACCACAGTGTGTGGTCGGTGGAGAATAGACTGGTCAACTGCGCAGTGAGTGACGACACCGCGGTTACAGACAACTACATATCTGTGTGTCGGGAGAAGAGCACCACAGCAGAGTTCTCTGACAGTCCTGGTGAACGTTTTGATGTCAGTCCGCAGTTTGAATTTGAAAGCCCCTGCGCTCCTGTTAGCTCTCCAACAGTCACCCAGCGCGAAGCGGTTGGAGATGCCTCTGAGGAACTTACAGAGACAAGGAGTAAGAGGCACGCACGGAGCGTTATTGATGATATAGCGTTCCAGAATCCTCTTGGAGACGGTGGTGACAGTTCCAGGGATGTGACGCAAGCACACAGGCGCGTAAAACGTGGTTTAATCGTACCGGGAACGCTTTGGTGCGGCTCAGGGAACAAGGCGGCGACCTATGAGGATTTAGGTAGGTAGTCGGTGTTGTATCTAACTGTGTTCCAGACTCAGATATGGTTCTCCTTTTGATAATATTTTCTAAATTGTAATTGTATGGGGTATTAAAGCTAGAATGTAATTGATGATGATGATTAATGGGTCATTAGTAGGGCTCTATAAAATCCGCGATGCGGAGAACGCAGACAGAATCATGGAATCCAGATATTAAAAAGTAATTCAACAATATTCAAAAATGTATTGACCTTAGTAGGGAATCAACTAAATTAATTGAAAATTAATACATTTACTCAATCACAATGCATTACCATAATGCATTAGTGATTCGTATTTCCTGCAACTTTATGAAGAGGCAACGAGAATTCCCCGTCTGTGTATGCGAGGTGTGTCCATAGCCTACACACAAAGCATCTACCACTTTGTGCAGCTGTTAGCGATGATGTTGGTAGATGGAAAGGCTTTCCCAAAAACCTTCTCAATTAAATGTTAACTACAAAGTAGCCTATGCTTACCTGGCAGAATGATATCATGATTATTTGCATAAATCTAGTCGGTATTTGTTTTGCAAACACTACAATCACAGACAGTGATGGTAGAGTGCTACTATATACATCTGCATTGCTAGCTCTTTGGGGTTTTAGGCTGGGTTTCTGTATAAGCACTTTGTGACAACTGCAGATGTAAAAAGGGCTTTATAAATTATTGATTGATTGTGTGAGCCACACCTCTAACATCCTCTTGCTAGGCATGCACTGTAATTAAAGGTTAAGTACATATATATATACTTTTTTTCATACCTCAAAAGTGGTCTCCTGATGTGGTTTAGGCATTGTTGTGGACTTAGAACATCCAATTGAGTTGTTTTTCTGTTTAAAAAAAGTGTGATTTTGAGAGCGAAAACCTGAAATAACGGAAAATGGAAATCTGGAAAAATAAAACGGAGAAAACAGAATTTGTGAAAAACTAAACTGAATCAGACAAAAAATAAAACTGATTTTATAGGGCCCTGCATTAGTAATGCCTCTGTTTTGCTTCACGATATATAAAATAGGCCTAACCCGGTCTCTTGTTGTTGTTGCTGAACCTCTCCTACCCGTCTACCTGTGACAGGTGTGTTTGCAGAGACAGACAGTTGCTGCAGGGAGCATGACCAATGTCAGGACACCATCCTGTCGTTCGAGACCAACTATGGCGTTTTCAACAAAAACATTTTCACCCTGTCCCACTGCCACTGTGATAACAGGTAGGCTCCCTGTCACAACTAACTCTGTCTATGTGACTGTGACTCTCATGAGGAAGATTCTGCCTTTCCCTTAACATTATACATTACTGATGCAGTTCCGGCTAACCTCTGTGTATTGTTGTATTAATGTTGTGTTTAGGTTGCATTAACATTGTATTAACATTGTGTTGTTGTGTATAGGTTTCACCAGTGTTTACTGGGGGCTGAGGACAGTATTTCAGACACAGTGGGATACGTCTTCTTCAACCTGCTAAAGATGCACTGCTTTGAGTTCTCCCACAGACTACAGTGCTCTCAGAGGAACTGGTTTGGCATGTGAGCGACTATCACAACCTCACTTATGTTTGTTCATGAAGTGTTTAATGTAACATGCAATGACAACTGGAGTAGAGCCTAATCCTACCTTGTTCCTCTCCGTGGCAGGTGTCAACAGTATGAGATGTCTCTGTATGCTGTGGTTCATCCTCCCACCTTCTACAACTCCACCCACCCGGACCCTGACCTAGAGGAGGATGAAATGGCTGACAATACCACCACTACCATCTCCACTCCCACTTCCACCTCCAGCTCCCCCTCCAACTCTTCCACCTCCACCTCCACCTCCCCCCCCCAACTCTACCACCTCCTCCTCCTCCAGCTTCATCTCCACCTCCCCCTCCAACTCTACCACCTCCTCCTCCTCCTCCACTTCCTCCTTCATCTCCACCTCCATCTCCACCTCCTCCATCTCCACCTCCCCCTCCAACTCTACCACATCCTCCTCCACCTCCATCTCCTCTTCCATCTCCACCTCCACCTCCATCTCTTCCTCCACCTCCTCCACCTCCTCTACCTCCATCTCCACCTCTCCCTCCACCACCTCGACCTCCCCTTCCATCTCAACCACCACCTTTCCCTCCATCTCCATCTCCACCTCTCCCTCCACCCCCACCACTCCTTCCAGTGCTGCCCCAGCAGACCTCACCACAGGGGGTCAGAGTGGAACACCAGCCCCTGGCTCACCTGTCACCCACCCTGACTCTGGAGAGGACAATATGGCTGCCAATACTTCCCCCACCTCCACCACTGGCAATGCTACTGCTATAGGGGCCCAGAGTAGCACCTCGGGACCAGTAACTTCAGCCTCGGCCTCGGGCCCAGCATTGGCTTTGGCCTCGCCAGCTGAACCCACCAACCATAATGACCTGACTCGGCCTAAGTCTAAGCAGGATGCAGCAAGCACAGGTAGGTGGAAGGAAATATTGTCTGTTTTTCTGTCTCTGTCTGTCTGTCTGTCTTTGATAATAGTGCCTTTTGAGTGGACTTGACCATGAGCTCAATTACATTTCATTGTGTTTTCCGTCTGTGTAGGGAAGCAGCGTGTGTATGTGTGTGATGTGTACAGAGACCTGGATGACTGCAGGTTTAAGATCCCTCCTCACCAGAAGAGATACAGCCTCCTCAACCCAGAACCCAGGACCCTGTTCCACTGCAACTGTACCAGCAGGTCATTATTACAGAATAATACAATATGTAACGATTCGGACAACCAGATCAGTGCGACCAAGTGGTCTGTGACACACAGCTGTCTGTATGTAATTTTGTGAATTAATTAATGAAATTACGTGTCAAATCACATTCGATGACCCATCCCTTACTGGTATATTTGTCAGATTGTTAAACAAATTGTTTGTACAGGGTCAGACAGTGAAGGACAGCCCTACTAGTTGTGTTAGCAGTTGTTGCTTAATGTTTAAATTAAATGTTTGATAAAACACAGAAGTAGGGCATTTGGGCAACAGTGGGATTGTGTGCTCACTTATGTGTCTGGCGCTCACCCCAATATGTCCTCCTCTCCTCTCCTCTCCTCTCCTCTCCTCTCCTCTCCTCTCCTCTCCTCTCCTCTCCTCTCCTCTCCTCTCCTCTCCTCTCCTCTCCTCTCCTCTCCTCTCCTCTCCTCTCCTCTCCTCTCCTCTCCTCTCCTCTCCTCTCCTCTCCTCTCCTCTCCTCTCCTCTCCTCTAGACTGTCTGAGGTTCTGGTTCAGCAGAAGGAGATATCTGGGGTTCAGACTATTCTGTTGGAGTACATCTCTCTGTCCTGTTTCACATTACAGCCACAGGTCTGCACACAGGGGACAAGGTCAGTACAGTACACATCACAGACACACACGTACTGCCACACACGTGCACGCAAGGGTGCACACTCTCTCTCTCTCTAACTCTCTCTCTCTCTCTCTCGCTCTCCCTCTCACACACACACACACAAACACACACACACACACACACACACACACAGGCGGCAGGTGGTTAAGATCGTTGTGCCAGTAACCGTAAGGTCGCTGGTTCTAATACCCGAGCCGACTAGGTGAAAAATCTGTTGATGTGCCCTTGAGCAAGGCACTTAACCCTAATTGCTCCTGTAAGTCGCTCTGGATAAGAGCGTCTGCTAAATGACAAAAAAAACACACAAAAAAACACAGGGGCGGACTGGTACCAGAAATCGGCTCTGGCATTCTAATACACCGGCCATTAGGCCCTCACTATTAGCCAGATAATTATCATTTTGTGCAAAAAACCCAAGTTAGACAGGCCCACTGAGCTAAAAATGGTCCACGCCTGCACACACACACACACACACACACACACACACACACACACACACACACACACACACACACACACACACACACACACACACACACACAGAGAGAGAGACACACACACACAGACACACACACACACATGTGAGTTTGTAACAGTCTATCTCCTTATCTACAGCTGCTCAGCTTCTCTGGTCAAACCCTCTCCTGCTCAGCTGGAGCAGCAGAAGCAGAATGGTGGAGACATGGAGGAGTGGCGCCATCTACAGGCCACTGGACGCAACGGCAGGAGACCCAAATCTAGACGAGCCAAACACAGACTACACAAACTCTGCCTCAGGATGATACAACCCAAAGTACACAAGACCAGGAAGCACAAACAATGTGCTTTAGTAGGGGATGCAGTGCCAATGTAATCTAGTGTTGCCTGATCTATTTAGCCATTTCATTTCCTCCCCCATGGGATATCGATACTATTTTTTAAATTTAAATTTTAGTCATTGTAAATCCAGATTTATCCAGAGCTGCTTATAGTTAGTGCATTCATTTTAAGATAGCTAGGTGAGACATCCACATCAGCAAAGTCAGTGCAAGTAGCAAAAAAGACAAGTGCAAGTTTTTTTATTTTAATTTATTTTAATTTTTGGGGGGGTGGGCGACATATACTAATAACATATACTAATAGCAGTTGTAAATAGTGATAGTTGTATCAGGGCCTTACTGTTGTAAAGGGAAAACTATGTTTCAAGTCCTGAGTGTAAATATCTAAGCTACTGTACAATAGTGTAAAATATATATTTTTTTAAACTACTGTCTATGCTCAGCATTAATTGAATACTTAATCTGACTGCAAAGTGTACATAGAAGTTACTTGTATAGGAAAACATATCATTGTCAAAGACAAACAGTGTTTGGATTTAATGTTTCTATTTATTATTTGTTTACTCTGTAATAAACACTTAGACATAGCCTGTATGCTATCTGTTACTGTTGTATTCATAATACTGTCAATTTGATGACACATTAAGCTACACTATATCAAAGACACCAAAGTATTATGTTATTATTAGGTAAGGCATAACTAGAATACGTTCATGAAATGAAAAGGGATGGTGGTTGTATGTATTTTCTATAAATATTTTTCATTTTTTCACCTTTGATTCAAGTCCATTGCTTGCAAGCTTATGGCTTGTTTATTTATGAAGAGGGCTGCAGTAAGTAATGATCTATTACCTAAATTCTGTAGAAACAATACCTACAGCAGGAATGAATAACTGCTAGGTAACTCAACCCCTCTCTGATGTCACCACGGGTAATTGAGACCTGGAGATGCATCCGTGGAGCTTGAGCCTGCCGAGACCCGCCTCCACCCGCCACAAATTCCGTTACTCGGGGAAAAACGGATATAACATGGCGCACTTTCTGGGAAATAACTTGAGTTAGTTCGCGGCCGGTTAAGTGGAATATCGTTTGGTTGTTCATTTTTCTGAGGTCCATGAAAACAGAGCGGTTGATTGAAGTTCCTACCTACATTATTGTAGGAGAGCGCAGCGTTTCTGTGTGCTGTTTGGGAAGCGAACTGCCATGGGATGAAAGTTTCAAGTTGCTGCCGCTGTGTATAAAACTAGGACAGGATGGAGAAGCATCGACCGAAGAAAGAAAGGGTAAATAACCCAATGGCGAACAAAGAAAATTAGCCTACAGTTTCTTTGACAGTGCAGAGCATTTAGGCTATAGGTCTAGCTAACTGCAATAGTATGCTATAGGCTGGCTAGTGGCTAACCTATCAATTTCAGCCAAAGTGCTTTGATGATCCGTTCGATGTTATGTCTAAGTTGCGTAGCTATTCAGTAGTTGCCTAGCCCATACCGCGCCAGTAGTAGCACATTGCTTTTCATAGCAATTTAGTGGAAGATGCCATATTACAGTATTACAATGATAATAAGATAAGACAAGATCCAAATGTAACATTATCTTTTACTTGGGTGACAAACAGCACATTGGTTTTTGCCCCTTTAGTGTCTCTCTCTCTCTCTCTCTCTGTCAGAGGAGGTCCCTGGTTTCATTCTCTCAGGAATGTGTGTCTCCCTGCTGACCTGGGCTGAGCTGGGAGGGGGAAGGAAGGGACAGGGAAGTGGTGGTGGTGAGTGTGTGTGTGTCTGTGTGTGTGTGAAGAGGGTGTTCCTGTACTACTTTTCCAACACAACTGTTTTGACTGCTGCTCCACTTTGACAATGGCCGATTTTCCTGCACACCTCCATCTGTGTGTGTGTGTGAGAGAGAGTGAGAGAGATAGAAAGAGATTGAGTGTTGTGAGATAGAGAGAAATACATAGGGAGAGCGATGGAGAGTGAGTGAGAGATACGAGTTGTATGTGTAAGAGTCATGCATACAAACCCATATTTTATTGGCTATATGCACAGGTTGAAAAGCAGCTGTTCTCTCATCTTCTCCGACTCCCTCTCTCTCTGTCTCTCTGTCTCTCTCCCCAACCCCCCTCTCTCTCGCTCTCTCTCTCTCTCTCCTCTCTCTCTCTCTCTCTCTCTCTCTCTCTCTCTCTCTCCCTCTCCCTCTCCCTCTCCCTCTCCCTCTCTAGCTCTCGCTCTCTCTCTCTAGCTCTCTCTGTCTCTCTCTCTCTTCTGTCAGTGAAAACGTCCTACTGTGTGAGTTAGTGCTCCAGTTTGCTCTCTGTTTGGACAGAGAACGCCACTGGGACTTCAGGGACTGTGTGTGTGTTTGTGTCTATCTGTCTGTGTATTTGTATGTGTGTATTTGTATGTATGTATGTGTGTGTGTGTGTGTGTGTGTGTCTGTCTGTCTGTCTGTCTGTCTGTCTGTCTGTCTGTCTGTCTGTCTGTCTGTCTGTCTGTCTGTCTGTCTGTCTGTCTGTCTGTCTGTCTGTGTATTTGTGTGTGTGAGAGAGAGAGAGAGAGAGAGAGAGAGAGAGAGAGAGAGAGAGAGAGAGAGAGAGAGAGAGAGAGAGAGAGAGAGAGATAATGACAGCCTTGGTGTAAGTAATTCTGAAAGGACAAATTTGGGAACAGCAGATCAGGGAGGGAAGCAGAGAGTTAACCTCAATGTGCACATTACACACACACACTCTCACACTCACAAATACACACTATATCAAATGTAGATATAAACATTGCTTTGATGTTTTGGTGGTCAGATGAATATTGGCATGGTCCTCTTCAGGGAATGATGATACAACTTGACTCTAAAATTACTGTAACGTTGAGAAAAAGGTCTCTGATTGAATGAAAAGATAACTGACCACTCCTCCCCACATGTATTCTCTTCCTCCCATCCCCCTCTCTCCTCTCCTCTTTAGTTCTCTCTCTTCGGCCCTCGCTCTTCTAGCCGAAGCACCAACCCTCCCTCTTCCTCTTCGTCCTCTACCTCTGTTCCCCCCCATCCCTCCCTCTCTCCGTAAGACAGACCCTCATCCCGCCATCCCCCCCCCTCTCTCCGTAAGACAGACCCTCATCCCTCCATCCCTCCCTCTCTCCGTAAGACAGACCCTCATCCCTCCATCCCTCCCTCTCTCCGTAAGACAGATCCTCATCCCTCCATCCCTCCCTCAATCCCTCCTGGGCCTCCTATCCTTTCTAAGACAGAGTTTCTGGAGGCAGTGCGTTGCAGTAACCAGGCGTGCCAGCGGGGGCAGTACAGCCTGGCGGTGCAGCTCTATGGGAAGGCCCTGTCTGCAGACCCTCAGAACTGCATCCTGTACAGTAACCGCTCAGCGGCACATCTCCGCCTTGGACAGTACCAGACCGCCCTGGACGACGCCCTCAAAGCCCGCCTGCTCAACCCCAAATGGCCAAAGGTAGGACCAACTTTATACTATAACATACATGTTTTGTACTGCTAATTGAGCCTTTGTTTGTGGGAAGGGTTTTGCTCAACCTACAGATGTAAGATCTTCATTTCATCACTCTTTTGTTGCTGAGAATTTTCCTGTAGAAAACTGGCTCAAATTAAAGATCCTACTTCTGTAATGGCCCAAGGTAAGAGAGATAGCTGTCATGTTTAATGTGCACCAACAACTTCTAGAGCATTCCCAGAGGATTGGAGGCGCTCAGCCTGAAGTGCCTCTTTGTATTCAACTGTAGAGGGAATAGCCTGAACATACAGTCACTAAACAAATGAGAGAGCGAGAGTGAGAGTGATACAGAGAAAGAGAGAGAGAGAGAGAGAGAGAGAGAGAGAGAGGAGAGAAAGGAAGAGAGAGAGATAGAGAAAGAGAGAGAGAGATAGATAGACAGAATAAGCTATCGTAGAGAAGAAATAGATAGAAGATAAATACACTACATACTACGAACGACTGAGGATGTTTTGAGGCAGTCAGGGGTCTTTGTAAAGAGACAGACTCTAGAAAGGCTTTTACAGGCTGGCTCTGTAATTAATTGGCATGGGAAATATATGTTTACATTGCCAAAGTAAGTGAAATAGATAATAAACAAAAGTAAAATAAACAATACAAAATTAACAGTAAACATTACACTCCAAAAGAATAAAGACATTTCAAATGTCATATTATGTCTATATACAGTGTTGTAATGATGTGCAAATAGTTCAAAAGGGAAAATAAATAAACATAAATATGGGTTGTATTTACAATGCTCTGTATCTCTCTCTCTCTCTGGGTCTGCTCCACTCCACTTCCCCTCTCTATACTGAAGAGAATAGACGGAAGCTGCTTCTGTCTGTGTGTGTGTTTGTGTGTGTGTGTGTGTGTGTGAGAGGGGATATTTGGTATATGTGTGTATGTGTCTGCTATTTTGTTTTGGAAATCGTGTCATAGGAGCAGGCAGGGTCTGTGAGGACAATAACATAACCCCA